AAGCTCAGATCCAGCCAGCCGAGCCCTGAGACACGAGCCGGGCCTATCTCCGTGCTGGGTGGGTTATTACGTTTATTTACAACTTGAACCTACAGTAGATCATTACGCCATTAGAAGCCTCTATTAATTTACAAATGGCACTGAAAATGGAGATAATTAATGCTTTTCACAGGACACCTGGCCTCACACCAAGAAAGCCAACATCGCTCGCAGTCCCCAAAGATTGCTCCCAGCACCAGCTGCGGCCCCTGCTGGCACTGGAAAGCTTTCCCAATAAATGTTATGTTCAAAGAGACACTTGTCACGCTTCCTAAAGGAAATGCATGGCGCTCTCGGTGGCGCCTATCACAGCACAGCCCCCAAAACCCTGGTTCCCGTGCAGTGAGCTTCCAGGCTACCCTCATAGACCTCACGCCTCCACGGAGCTGAGTGGGGAGCTTCCAAACCCGCAGACATGCCATGGAAGGGCCATTGCTGCATGCTGCAGGGCAGGAGCCGGCTCTCGGGCCACTTGCGACAGAGAAATAAAGGTTTCCTTTTCTGGGTCAAACATTCTGGAGCAAACCTCTCCCAGAACGTGAGAAAGGAGAACGCAGACAGAAAGCTCATTCTCGTGTCAGAGCATAACTACAGTCTGGGAGAAGTCAGTGTACCCGGTGCGTGCTGAGCCTGGAAGAGACGGCCGAGACAGCCCCTGGAGAAGTGTAAGGTGATGCCTTCTTCCGTGCAGAGTGCCCCACCGAGAGGGCCTCTCCGGACGACAGAGCCCTCACTGGGTCCTGCCACCTGGCCCGGGCAGAGCATGTGTCTGCACACAATGAGCCCTGGTCACAGGGATGCTTCCAGTCGCCATCTGGAAAGATGCCCTGCCAGGCAAGCACAGGCTTTCTGCACCCGCGAGAATCCCCTTAGGAAAAGGCCACGACCTCTGCAGGGCCTGCTGCCTGGGATAAATAAATATTTGATCTTCGTCCCCAGTTCCTGGCACACAGCTCTAAAACCGTTGGACTGTCTGGAGTGATAAGAGTGTCTTCTGTGTGCTAAGGAGATGACTGGTGGCTGCGGGCCCCTAGATAACTTCAGGATGGGGGCTGGTCACCAGAAAGACCAAGGCATGATTGGACGGTTGGAACTTCCAGCCCCACTGCTGATCTCTGACCTCCGGGGAGGGCAGAGGGGCTAGAGATTGAATCAGTCACCAATGGCCAGTGATTTAATCCATCATGCCTATGGAATGGAACCTCCATAAAAACCCTTAAACAATGGGGTTCAGAGAGCTTCTGGGATGGTCAACACGTGGAGGTGCTGGGAGGGCGGGGCGCCTGGAGAGGGCACGGAAGTTCCACGCCCTGTCTCCCTAACCCTGCCCGGTGCATCTCCTCCATTTGACTGTTCCTGAGTTGTGTCCTTTATTATAAACTGGTAATAGTAAGTAAACTCTTTTCCTGAGTTCTATGAGCTATTCTAGCAAATTATCAAACCTGAGGAGGGGGTTGCGGGAACCCCCAACTTTACAGCCAAGCGGTCAGAAGTACAGGTGGCCCAGACTTGGGATTGGTGTCTGAATTGGGGGGCAGTCTTGTGGGGCTGAGCCCTTAGCCTGTGGGGTCTGTGCTGACTCCAGGTAGTTAGTGCCAGAATCGAACTGAATGGTTGAACACCCAGCTCGTGTCCAGGGGGTTGAAGAGTCGCTTGTTGGGTAGAAGAAAAAACCCACATATCTGGTGTCAGCAGCGTTGTGAGTAATCAGACTGCTCCTGATGCAACCAAGGCTGGCAGGGTGTGGATTCTGCACCTCTCCTGGGTCCTGCAAGACGACTCTGACTGCTCTAAGCTATGCAAGACCCCACTCTCTGTGTAGGACACAGGGGTGGATTGCTGAAGAGCCAGATATTTGCGCAGGCGATTACTCTGGCACACGGGGGTCTTCAGAGGTTGCAGGAGAAAGTCCAAGCACAGGGCACCGAGAGAGCAGTGCAGGCCGGGTTCTGTTCCGTGAGGGTCCCGCAGGGAGACTCTAGACCAAACACGAGGCAGGAAGATGCTCACAAAGAGAGACCAGAGCCCCATTCTCCTCTAGTTGATCAAAGACGTGACTACATACTAGACCCCCTGGGTCCAGGCGGACTCGTCCCTATCATTAGCTCAAATGCCATCCACACGTCCCTTGCTGGGGCTGAGTCAGAGAAACGAGAAAGATACAAGCTGAGGTTATGGAGGGAGCTTAGAAAGGGGAGGGGTAATGTCCTTGAGTCACAAGTGTGTATTTCTTTTATAACTTTTATTTGCAGTCCTCACATTCTGTTATAGTTTTTTCCTTCCCAAGAATGACGCAGAGCAGAGAGAGTGCATGACGATGCTGACCTAGGATTCAGTATAAGTTCTGAAGCCATGGGGCTGTGTGGTTTAGATCCTAAAAGGAGCAAGACGCCGTTGTAGGCATCCTGCCCCATACGGCAGTTCAAGAACACTAGCTCCTGGCACAACAGTAAAGAGAGGCTTCACTGTGTTCTCATCCTCATTGAATGCATGGAAGTTAAGGAACCTCCCACCGGGGACACATTCATCAGAGAAACTCTGATTTGCCTGCCTCGATTCCTTTGCAAAAAGGCGCCCTGAAAGGCGGCGTGGTCGGCCAAGACGCTCGTCCAAGAATGGAGAAGGCCGTGTACAGGATCCAAGAACCCGGAGGTGTCCTACCCCCAACTTCCCAGGAGCCAGGCAGATCCCAACGGGGTGCTCCCCAATTATGGGCATGCACAAGACCCAGGACCATGACACTCAAAACCCACTGGGACCTGCTTTCCCACACCACTCAGGGGTCAAGGGGCCTCTCCACCGGCCCGGCCGCCAGCTTGTCTGAGAGCACAGCATTGGCCACAGCATGACAAGGCAACCACAACTTCTCATTTCCTCACTTGGCCAAGAAAACACAAAAGTCAAGAACTATGAAGAAACTTGGAAATCAAAACAAGACCCTGTGTGCACTTTTCTATCTGTCTGTGGTTGATAAAAAGCTCCCGAGAATACACTGTGGACAGCGGGCAGCAGGCCCATCGGGGCAGGGGCACAGAGGGAGGAGGGCTAAGTGCAGGGAAGGAGACGGCAGGCCTTTTTTAAAAAAGTGTATACACTTCTATATCGTGTTTAACTTTTTAATGAGCAAGCACTATTTCTGTAACTGTGCTAAAATAAACACAGTTTAACCATCCACTTTCTCAGGCTGCTTTGCTGGCACTATATATCAAGACCCTTAAAAATGGTCTATTGCTCTTTCCAATCTCTGTTCCCTCCTCTTCTTCACCTCCAGGCCAGCCCTGTCCTCTCTTAATTGGGACAGTGTCAGAAAACACCAAACAGAAACCGTGCACCACAAAGGGATTCGGTCCCTATTTGTCAATAACAGGGAGGGTGCTGGCTGCACCAGGAGGCACTTCCCAAGCAGGGGGGCTCTGGTGAGTCAGCCTGCAGGGGTCTGTGCCTCAGGCCCCCAGTCTATGAAACTCGGGCACTGGACCATCTGCTCGCCCTGCCCCTTCCAGCTCTATGGGCCGTGCTGGTCTTAACATCCTGCATTGTTGCCCCAGTTTCCTCCTGTAACCCCAATATCTTCCAGGGACTTCCCCACACCTGTTACAGGGATTATATAGCGTGTGACTCCAGTATTGGCAACGAGATGGGGAAAGAGAGCTCTCCTATGCTGCCAGGGCACAGTAAGCACTTTGGTGACCAATTCTGGAACACTTGGTCAGCTGAATCATGCACACATACAACCTAGCAATTCCATGCCTGCCCTTGAGACACTCCCATACTTGTGCCTGACGAGTTAGCAGATGGTAAACATGCGGGGTCAGTGCAGCTTGGTTGTACTTGTGAAAAAGAGAAAACAACCCAATTATCCATCAATCGCAGATGGAGAAAGAAGCCCGGGTCCATCCAGAATCCTGGACTGTAGTTAAAGCAAGTGAACTAGAGCCACTCAAACCAACCTAGATGAATCTTAAAATCCCCATGTTCTATAAGGAGAAAGCCTATTGTAAAATTGTATGTACAAAATGATAAACGTTTTAAACGCACGAATAATACTCTAGCTGAGACAGGGAGGAGATATATGGGGTGGGGTATGGCAATGCTCCTTCTCGACCTGGGGTCACACAGGCGTCCCCTCCTGTCTGCTAACTGGTATGCATTTAACTTGATAACAAAACAAAGACAGATACAAGGGTAAGCCTTATATTTAAGAGAAAGTTTCTTAGGCTTTTTACCGACACTTTTCATTTAAAAAAATCTTCAAAATCATTAATGGTATTTGACTAGTCTTATAAGTAACTTTAGCCTGTGAACCATTAGCAACTGTAAAACGAGCTCTACATAATATCTAAGGGGCTCAAATTTATATATCATGTTGCAGAATATATATATATTTTACTGAGATACAATTCACATACCACATAATTCACCCATTTAAACTGTACAATTAAACTGTTTTTAAACTACACTCCACAAACTTGGACAACCATCACCACCATCGTTTTTAGAACATTTTCATCACCCCAAAAAGAAACCCTGTACCGATTAGCAGTCATTCTCCATTTCCCCTTAAACACTACTTCCACCCAGCCCCTGGCAACCACTAATCTACTTTCTGCCTCTATAGATTTCTCTATCCTGCATATTTCATATCAATGGAATCATACAATATGTGACCTTTTGTGTCTGGCTTCTTTCACTGAGCATAATGGCTTCGAGGCTCATCCATGTGGTAGCATACATCAGAATTTCATTCCTTTTTAAGGCCAAATAATATTCCATTATATGGATATACCACATTTTATTTACCTATTTATCAGTTGATGGAGCAGACCCCTTTTTTTTTTTTTTTTTTTGATGTAAGGGCATTTTTAATAATTCTAAGACAGAATAAATTCCCCCACCCCAGCTTTAAATTTGCTTCCTCGGTAAGGAGAGGCCCACCGCAGGTGACCGTGCCCCCAGCTCACCTTCTCCTGGGCTGACCTGGCCACACTCCAGACTTGCTGCACCGCCAGCTCCAGGGGCGGCTGCAGCGGGTCCTCCTCAAAGGAAAGGAGCAGCGGGCCCTGGAACAGAAAAGCACAATGAGGAGACGCATGTACGGGGGAGGAGGGAGCGCCTGCTTTTTGAAGAAAATTGTATACTTGCTACAAAGCTCTGCAAATCTAAGAAAATGTAATACAATTGCTTTTAGTTAAATCTGAGCTTCTAAATAGCCTCACTGGTCAAATAGCAGTAGTTCACGCACCCATGGACCAGCTCATGACGAATCGCACTCAGGAGCAGGGTTCTGTTAAGGGAGAAGGATGGAAAATGGAGAACGAAGAAACAAAACCAAAGACATCGCAATAAAGATGGTGAAGGGTGTTTGGAATCCTCACGTTTGCAACTTAAGGCAAGAAGCCCAGGCTCGTGCTGGTCTGGGGGTCTGCAGGGTGAGCACAGTATCTGGGCAGGTTCCAGGGCTGTGTCCTCCCTTCCTCTGGGGAGAGCCCTCTCCCTGCTCCCGTGGTTGCTGGCAATGTTACTTAAGACACCCCCTTCTTTTCTCCCACCACCCAAATGGTGGGTGGACAGGAACCCCCAAGGGCTGGCCACCTCTCCCTGGAATTTGAGATTCTTTGGCTGGAAATGAGCCAGCCCAGTGGCTGTGTCAGAGAAGCGGGTTCCTAAGCCTCTGCTTCGAAGACCTCCAGAGCTGCCGGGCTCATGCCCCCCAGAGCCTCCTGGTCAACTCTCCCTTCAGCTCTGTGCATCCCCCTGCACCCTCCCAGTAAATTCCTCCATGGCTTAAGTCAGCCTCCATCTGTTTTGCTTCTTGCGATTAAAAATCTCCAAATGAGAGATTTGCAAGTAAACCAATGTGACCACAAGGCTACAAGACTGATGTTTGATAAAGGAACAAATGAGGGTCTAGATAGCCAACCAGGTCTCGGCCTTTTAAAAGTAAGTTATCTTAAGAGACCAGACACTTATGTCAACAACACGACCCTGGAATGAAACTCTTCTTAAACTCTTTTCCTGACATGCTGTAGGAATTATAGTCAAGTACATTATAGTTGAGTAAGCTCTGATTCGGTGTTTAAAAAAGAAATTCAGCCCCACAACTTCCCACCATATCTCATCTACTTCAGAGGCTCCCTTGTGGGGAGCTGGTTTCAACCATGAGGCGTGGTCAAGGGTGGAGGGATAAAAATGGTGCAAAACAGCCCCGAAGCTCTTCTGGCAAGCGCAGCACAAATGAACAAACAATGGGGTTGTCATGGGGCTATTTCAACGATGGAGAGCAAACCTAAAAGGCAAAGAACATTTTATTTACGTGCATCTAACCTCACCCTGTTTTTGCAACATCTATCTCATCCCCTAGAAATCATCAGGGGAGAATTAAATCTACTTCTCAAGAGTGATGAAATCCCGGTTTCGGGGCTGCTCTGCCTACATTCTCCACGGCTGGAGCTTGTTTTGGTGTGACCTGCTGGCCAGGGGCACACCATGAGTTTGGGGATGACACGGTTCCATGTGTGGCCGGCTGAGAGAACAGCACCCGGCACAGAGCTCAGCGCCAGGCAGGGAAGCGACCCATCAGCAGGAGAGCTTCCAGCTGCGGGACTGCGTGGTGAAACAATGTACCTTCTGTACCAGCCAAAAGATACAGCGTTGCCGTAAGCAGTCTGGACATTGCCTCACTGTCCCTAGGCATCAGTAGATGCGGTCTGTCCTTTCTTACCTATGGTGTCGTTGGGATTAAAGCCTTGAAAAGATTCTGCTGGGAAATTTAATGTCAAGGGGTGGTCTCACAAAGGAAATAAATTATTAAGTAAAAATTAGGACCCCGAGATTCTCTTTCTGACTGCCTAATCCTTGAGCTTCAGAAGTCCAGCATGTGCATAGCACACAACCCCAGACTTCTGCATCTCCCACACTCTGTCTGTGTGCTGACAGCCCCCATTCCAGGCTCTACCCTTCTTAGACTAAAGCAAGATTTTACATCCACACAGCAAAGCAACATGCAGGCACTACCAGGAAAACACTGAAAAAGGAAAACCAGAGAGACTAGCCCTACAAGACATTAAGACACACTACAGAACCTCCATGATTCAAACCGTGTGGTACTGGTGCATGAACACACAAGCAGACTAGTGGGCTAGAAACCAAAGTCCAGAACAGACCCAAATACACGTGGAAACCATACATGACAAAGGTGACTTCCCAAATCACTGGGTAAAGACGGATTTTTTTTTTTTAATCAGAATGTGGGAGGAACCCCAGATGGAATACAAACACCAAGAAACGAACCTAACCACATTACAAATGAATGACACAACCACCCTGAAGGGGTGGGAAACACACACCGAACCTAAGAAACTTTGGAAAATAATATCCTGACCACACACAAATGCATAATCTGGTCAGTAAGTGTGTTTCTCACAGGGGTATGGGTCAGCAATTCAGAAACTACTTTATGTATATACCAGAAATCACCAAATAATAAATGTTACAGACAGTGAGCACCAGTACCAGTGAGTACCAGAGGCCTCACTCTTGGAGAAGGAAGTTAAAAATAAGGAAAGGGGAAGGCTAAAATGAACTCCGTGCTGTTGACCTGGAATCCAAGGTTTATCAGTATAAAGTCATGGTTTTGAAGCTACAGAAAGATAGAGAAATGCAGAACGTGTGTATGTGAGCGTGTTAGTATAAGACATTTTTCCTAGGTCTGTCCACTAAAAAGGTCTAGAAGCAATGAGACACCAGCAGTAATGAGCCCACCCAGTGCCCAGATCTTGGATTCTAAACACTTCTCCAGCACAAGGAAGCAGGGCTGCTTGGAGAAGTGGCTGAATCCAGGGCTGGGAGAGGGGAAAATAGAAGATGAGTCTAGAACAAACATCTCGTGGAACCATAAAGTAAGGAAGTGCTATCTATATACACGTATCTTGATGGAAGAACAGAACAGGCTACTACTGAAAGTGCTCCTAGCCGCCAAAACAAGAACAATAAAATAAATAGCAATAGTATTGGATTATAACCCATGGAATAAAATAAATATCCATGAGTTCATATTGATGTAAATAATCAATGAAATATATAGATGGAGGAAAAGTGGCAGCTCTTTCTTGCAGTAGAATTCCAATGAGGAGAGAGAGGAACAGAAAATCATCATTAAGCAAACTCCACAGAAGGAATTATTGCAGACTAGATATACGTGGACGGAGAATCGGTGAGCAAAACTCGGAGGAGTAACAGGATTTATATGGTCTCAAAGTATCTCCCCAAGATATCCGTTAACTACAGGGGGAAAGATGTAAGAGGAGACATAAGATGGAAGAAGAGGAACCAGGAGAAACCACCCTCCCCAAGGGGTCGAGGCCAACGTCCCCAGCAGTAGGTTACACTGACATCACGAATCCCGTGACACGTACACTAAAAGGGGCACATCATTTCTGTGGTTTTGTATGACCTCAGTCCAATTGTGTGAAAACACCACATTGAGGGACTTTTGGCAAAATAACAATCAATACTCTTCCAAGTTATCAAGGTCAGGAGAAACAAGGAAAGACTGGGAAACTGTTATAGACCTCGGGAAACTACGGAGAAGCAAGGATTCAACGCCGTGTGGGACCTGAATGGGACCCTGGAACAAGAAAAGGATACTGGAGGATAACCTGTGAAATTCCAATAAGCTCTTCAGTTTAAAGGCACGAGCCAATGTTAATTTCATTGTACTACGAATTATAGTAACATTGTGCAATTGTAGTAACAATTAACATTGTGCAATTATAGTAACAATGTTAATTTCTTGGTTCTGATTATTGTGCTATGGTTATGTAAGGCTGGGTGAGGAATGTACGGAAACTCGCTGAATTATTTTTGCAACTTTTCTATAAATCTAAAAGCAGTAAAAAATAAAAAGTTAAAAAAAAAGGAGACTACAAGAGAACAGCCCACCTTTATTGACTCATTATTTGCTAAATGCCTCACACAGATACCTCATCCGGAGTGGATGCTGTTTTCTGCATTGATCCCAAAGTTATCCCCCTCTACAGATAAAGCACAGAGAAGTCAGGACTTGCCCAAGGTCACACAGCCCCAGAGCTGCCTTCCAGCCGAAGCTGTGAACACAAGCTCTTCCAAGCGGCTCAAGAAGTCCCCTCCCTCCTCAGCAACCTAGGAGCGGGCCTCGGGAGTGGAAGTTAGCTTTGGCTGCATTTTAGTTGACGTTAACACTACACCCACTCTTCCTTCCCCTGAATTCCTGTCTCATTGGGAGAATGAGCGGGAGCATAGAACAACCTGAACTGGCGCCTATTCCTGGGCTTTGCACAGACAATTTGCAAAGTCATCAGCGAGCCTCCTTTAATGTTGCTTCTTTAGAAGTGAAAAACAAAGCACATTAAAAGCTTGTTTTGCCCAGGCCTGGCAGGCTCCCAAGCAGGGCAGGCCCATGTCCAGACCGGCAAGCACGTTGCCACCGTTTCTCCCCCTCCAGCGACAAGTTTCTAACAAGGCCTGTCATTCATCCCCCAGACCGCCGCCTGCTCGAGCCAGCCTTGCGCCGGGCACCCGGTCGGCTGTGCCTGGACGGCTGTGCCTGTGTCACCGGGCTCTGGCCCAGTTCACAATCCCGGGAGCTGATGAGGGCACAAGGGACCACAAGGTGCCGATGCGGGGACACCCCCAGGATGGGGGTGGGGCAGCATCCTCGCAGAACAGGAGGATAGGGGACCTCTGAGCTGAGACCTGAAAGATTTACAGAAGTTAAATAAGGAGAAAGGTTCAGTAAGTGTTGGAGACAAAAGGAATGACCTGGGGGAGGGCACCACACAAGAAAGAACCTGAATGTCCGCGGACAGACAGGAGACTGGTGTGGGGGGGTCATGGTGGAGGACACAGGGAGGGGCAAATCCATGGCCTTACTGAAGGTCACCTTCACATTCCTACCAACTGACTTCTTATATTGTGGCCACTGTCGTTGGTCAACAAGCTTGGATTTGGGTGAGCACCACTCAAAGGTCGTTATGTAATACGAAAACTCTGAAGTCCTGTTCCTCCATTTATTTTTTAAATTGCCAAAGCTCATATACAAGTCAGCGCTATTAATAATACGTTCGAAGTTCACACAGCATCCTTTTTTTTTTACGAAGACCACAAATTGTCCCACAGTCTTGGTCATCTGCATTTAGAACATTCCTCTGAAAAAGTCCTGGGGCAGAGGACTAAAGAAACAAGCTGCTTTGGTGACCCTCCTAACCCAGGGCTTCGGCCAGCATGGGTGGCTCATTTCTAGACAAATCCAGAACACGACCCTCGTTCTCAGACCAGTGCTCCCCACATGTGGTCCAGGCAGCATCTGGCTTGGGAGGGAAGCGCTGTCCAGCCCACGGGCAGGGGTTGCTGAGCTATGAGCACACTGGCTTCCAGAGCCTGTGAGGCTGCAGAATGAGCAATCCCAGAGCCTCCCATAGAGGGGTGCGGGCCATCGCTGGGGTAACTGGTTGTCACTGCAAGCTATTTTGTAAATGTCAACATAAACTCAGGGGAACTAAAAGGAAAACCTCAGCCTGGCCTTTGGATAATACAGCATTAGTTCCCAGTCTAGTAACTGAGCCAGTTCCGGAATCTTTCTGTTCTCTGTGACTGAACTGCGATCAGATCAACTGGAATTAGGTGTTTGTAACACCGGAGTGGAGACGTGTTGCCGGGTGAAGGGGAACTCTGATTGACTGACTGATGGTTGGCTTCGGGACAGACGTGTATCTAGTGGCTTCTCACTAGTGAGAAGCTGGCTTGGGGAACTTGTGAAAAATACAATATGCTCCCCACACCCCCACCAACCCAGCCGACTAAGTCTGAATTTGGTGGTGGTGGTGGGGGGGGAATCAGGCATGTGTATTTTTTTCAAAGCTCTCTAGGCAATTCGCCTGTGCTCCCTGAACACCTGGCATCTGCCGACCAGCTGGCAGAGCAGCAATGATTTCCTCACGTGTCTCTCCAACTCTCATCTTGTCTAATTTAAAAATACTTACAAAGTGAGGGCCTGAATCCGAGGGGGGGGGGGGGCTCTGACACAAGGAAGCTGAGCTGCCACAGTCCCTGGTCATCGAGGGTGCAAAGGAGACTCCACAAGTCAGTGATCAACCCTCAGACCCTGGGAGATACGAGCCCCATTGTTAGGGATGATACGTTACACAATCATACCCTTTCATCTTTTCTTGCGGGGCCTCAATTCAAGGAAACATTTGGGTCTCAAAGTCTAATTTGCTTCCTACAGGGGAATGTCCCAGCCCAGGGTCTAGGTCGACCCTGGCAAGTCTCCAGCTCATGGGCTTCAGTCTCCCCTTCTGGAGAAGGAAGGGGCTCTGCTAGACGCATTTAGGGCTCCTTTCAGTCCTAAAATACAAAGCTGGGGTGAAGTCGAGAATGGGAGCACTTACTGCCTCCATTTGATAGAAAATTCCACCTTGCATGGAAGATGCTGGATATGATTAAGTTACTTCCAACGTGTCCTGGATCCCTCAGTGACAGGCTGAGAAGTGGGCTCCTCCCTGGCCAGAGCAGAGAGATCAGAGGACGTGGTAGGGACAGGGGGGCCACTGAGCTGTGGCTCTCTGGGCCGAGAGTGAGCTTGCAGTGTCAACCCTGATCCAGGATTAGTGGGAATCAAGTTGGGGGGAGGGCAGACAGACTCCTGCAGGGCTGGCCGCCGGGGTCAGACACTCACTAAGGAAACACCAGCATCTGCTCACGCACGTTGTCATTAGTGCCGCGACAGTGATGGCCCAGGACACTGGGAGCGCGTGTGACACATCAGTAGTCACATAGCCAAGTTACCCAGATCCTATCTGCCTGCAACACCTTCCACTGGAATTCAAATCAAGCAACACTTCCAGCACCAGGGAGAGCAGAGCAACACCACACACACACAACCAGTCCACACCTGACACCACAGTCAGACCCACTCTACGTCCACGCAAAACCGTCAGAGAAGACTTGCGGCTGCTCTGAGCTTGAACCCGGTACGTTATTGCCCCTTCCAGGCAGGAGTCTGGAAAAACTGATGTCTAATAAAAAACCGATGACGGCTACTAGCAGATAAAGAACAGAGAAAATGCAAAGAAGCCAAATCTCTCTGTCCACTCCCTGAACACAGAGCCCTTCCTGCTCCCACACAAAGATTCAAGTGTTTCAGGTGAAAGGTTTCTGCCCGAAACCTTCAGTTATTTTTTTTCAATGTTCTCAGCTTTGCCTGACCAATCAAAGACAAATTCCAGAGCAGGGACTTCCTCCTTTCTCTCTCAACACTCCAGGCACGCTGGTAATCTGGAAGCGTTGTACCTAAGGCGATCCTATTTCCTGAAGCCCATCAAGAAATGAAACAGAAAGGTTTAAGCAGGACTATCCTAAATTTACAGGAGGCAGGGTCATGCCCCCAAACCTGGAACTCTGTCAGGAGTCCCAGCGTCAGAACAGAAGGATCCTACAGATCATTCACCCAACACTCGCTCGCATTTCACAGAGGAGAAGGGGACAAGGCACGCGCCTGCTCACACCACCAGCCCGCAGTGGACTCAGCCCCAGAGCCCAAGCCAACGACACCAGGTCAATCGGGGGTCAATGACTGCAGTTTTGTGGGAAAACAAATCTGTGTTTGCTCCCATGAGTGAGGTCATGTGGCTTTAGGGCTTTCTCAAGAGATGGGGTGGTTCCCCTGGACAGGAGATGCCCAGCTCTGGACAGTGGGGCACAGATTCTAGGAACAAAGACAAGCAGTCAACTAGCCTTGAAGCCTTTTTTCACCTAAAAGGTACAGTTATTTTTTCAAGAGTTCAGAACAGAGTCTTTCGAATTGTTGGATTTATGCTCATTTACACCCAAAGCTTTTTTGTTTTTTAAATCCATAGCTATGTGAGTCAAGGCCATGGCACACAGACCAGGCAGAGGAGCCACTGTGGGATATTGTGATGGCTGATGGGTCCAGACCTGCAGCATTCTCTGTCTCCAAAGGGAATGGCCACAGGCTTCACCAGCGAGCTGCAGGAGCAGGTGTAGGAATGTGTCCACCTGAAAGCAAGGAGGACCAGCAAAGGCTGGGAGGGACTTCCCCAAACCCACTAGGCCCTAATTCCTCCTGCAGAATGCCTAGAAATAGTAGACGTCAGGAGCTTGTCATTAAAGTGAGATGTCTTAAAAGTAAAAATAAGTCACCAAGTCCTTAACTATGGAAGAAACACAAGCACAAGAGTGAGGCAGCAGAGTTCGGGAAGAAGCCCCTGAGCTTTGAGGCAAGAGGCAGATGGGTTCAAATCCCAGCTCCGCCACCCGCAGGCTGTGTGACCTTGGGCAGGTGACTCAACCTCTCCAGATCTCAGTTTCCTCACCTGTAAAATGTTGACAATGCCTCTGTCCCAGGAGTTGTGAGGATTCAGAGAGATACATATACCTAAGGGCCCCAATACAGTGTCTGGAGAGTGGCTGGCCCTCAACAAATGGTCACTAATTTGATATGCCAAGGAATCAAACCTTTTGGAAATATATTCTTGGTGAAATTCATTTTTATAGGAGGAAGCATATTTGGGTCACAGTTATTTGTATATCAAGTGTAAAAGCATTAAGTGTTCATCTGGGCACTATAATCCAGCTGAGACTCCAGGAAGGGCAGGTATGAGCTAGAAGGGGAATGGGCCCCTCTGGCAAATCTCTCCAACAGTCAGTCTGTCCCTCTGGTGGAGCCCAGGGCCTGGCACACCTGATGGGTGATGAATAAAATCGAATCCCTTTGCCTGGACTCCCCATCAAGGGTCCTCCGCTCTCCAGGGTCTTTCTCCTAACTTTCAAGGATGCTCTGCAGCGGAGAAGGCTCACTTCGGATCAGTCAAGGGCTGGGCGAGGCTCCCAGGAAGAAGAGCTCTCTGCCCTGACCGCCGGCACCCCAACCCGCAGCGCGACCCGCCCTCACCGAAACTCACCCCTTTCCGTCTGGCCTCATCGTTCAGGGCCGTCACCCAGGCGGCCTGCCACTGGCTCCTCCAGCTGTTCAGCGTCAGGATCCAGGCGAGCAGAGTGTCCGACTCGGGGCGCCGGCCCTCACCAGGCTCCGCCGCCCGCCGCGGGGGCCGGGGTCGCGCCCTGGCCAGCGCCCACTGCGCCAGGTACAGGCCAACCGTGCCCAGGGCCACGACGAAGAGCGACACCAAGACCAGCCACTGGACCTCACCGAGCCACGAGCCCAGGCGGGACATGGTGATGGCGCATACCCGGAGCGCCTCGCCCCAACTTCCCAGGGCAGCTCCCGGGCCGGGGCGCAGCGCCCGCGGGCGGCGACCTCAGGACATCAGCTCCCGGGTGGCCGGGGCTCGCGGGGGGCGTGGAGGGAGCGCGGCAGGGCCGGATCCGGGAGGCTGGCGGCGCGGGCGCGGAAGCCAGAGGCCGGGAAGCCGGGCGGGGCGAGCAAGAGGAAACGCCCGGGCGGCGCACGACGGCCACGGCCCGGGACTGCGGCTCCGGCCCGCACACCTGGCAAGTGGGGACGCGGCGCTCGGCGTTCCAG